AAGATGGAGAAAAGGAAAAAAAATTAAATAAGTACATTAAAACTTGATCAAGACCTTAACCAAACCGAACCAAATCAAAAATAAAACTGAACCAAACCGAACTTCATAAAAACCGATCAGGTCTCAATTATCAGTAAACCGAATGGTTCGGTTCGATTTGGTTTTTGCCCAAAACTAAACCAAACTGAACCTATGAACACCCCTAGCAGTTCCAACGTATGTAAAGCCAAAAGTTTAGTTATTTCGTTGACCTGAATTTGATCTTCTGAATCCCCTTCACAATTTCAATAGTGTTAAGTTAGAATTACCCTTTCTAGAAAAATGAAAATTCTTTAGGAAAATTTTTTTCTGAACATAAAGAATTTCAAAACTTTCGCATGGAGGAGACTTATGAGTTCAGTTCTTCTAAATAAAAATGAATTATTGATTATTGATTAGCCTTGCACAATAATAAATAATGTAATATCTATTTATTTTAATAATAATAAAAAATTAGGTTAAAGTATAAATTTATCTTCAATATTTTCCTCTAAGTGCATATAGTATTTTCAAGTTTTTTTTGGTGAAATGTTGACTCAACATTTTTTTTTAAATTTGGCACAATATCATTTTAAGTTAATAGATTTGGACTTCAACTATTAATTTGATCATTAAATTTTTCCCTAACTGCCACGTGTGAGTTCATGCTATTTTTTATTCATTTATCTTTTCCCTTCTTCCAACTTTGAGAACCACGTGGACATCTTCCCTTCGCTTCATTACTTTTTCAGCTTCCTCTCTCTCTTTTCTCGGGAAAAGGGTCCTGCTTTCTTTTCTCTCCTTTCCCCTCCTTTTTTCAATTCTCGATTTGATTTAATTCAATGAATTTATTTTAATTACAAATTTAATAAATAGTAGAGAGTCGAAAAAAGAGGGAAAATGAGGAGGGGAAAAAAAAAAAAGAGGAACCCCTCTCCCCTCGTCTCCTCCACCCATCTGTCTCTTCTTCACCTGAGCACTGCAATCGATCTGACAAACTAGAGCACTTGGGAAATCTACAGGTCCTTAATATTTACTTCACATGAAAGCAACGAAACCTCCTCACAAAGGAGATGCTCATTTCAACCCAATCTTCATCATCTGGGTTGTGAAGAGAGACGTTGCTTTCTCTCACTTTCTTAAAGGCCAAACGGTGGTCACCATGGTCAAGGACAATTTATACATCACGATATCGAGTTTCTTTCGTTGTCCTATATTTAGATTTGGTCCAACTCGTTTTGCAACCGGGTTGAATCGGTTGAGTCTCCGGCCACCACTAGAACAATCCCTTCCCTGGATTAGGTCGTCAACATTGTAAAATACTTGGACTGCCATGGTGGGAACGGTCTTGATTCCTTAATAAGAGTTGTATATTTTTCCAAAGAATCTGAAGAGAATTAGGAGTTTTTCGCAATGTTAGATGGATTCATGCCTTTGCTCGTTGATTTACTCGACAATGTCTGAAGAGAACTCAGGATTTGGAAGCTTGAAGCTTTTCTTGAGGTTTTCTCTCAAGCCGAACGTTGTTGCCCAAGTTTGTTTGAGATTCCAATGGGTTTGATCTGTTTCCTTGCTTGCTTGCCTTTGAAACTCTCCCAAAATTTTCTACTTCCCATTTGAGATTTTTTATCTTTCTTCTTCTCTTATTCTCGCATTCTAATCTTGGTGTTTTGGAATTGAAATTTTCATTTGTATTTATCTCCTATTCTCCTGTACAATTCAGCGTAAGAATCTAGGTTGTTAATTCTTGTCACAGGGTACTTACAATTTCTATACTTAAATTGAATTGTTCGGTGGATATGTGAGAGAGCTAAAGAATTATGTCATGTTCTGGATGGGTTTGATAGTTTTGGCTTGATTGTTCTTATTTGATTGCTGGGTTAGAGTAATCACCTACTTGGAGTTTGGGTTAGAAGATCGATGAAGTTCATGAACTTCAAAAAAGATGAAGTTTGAGTTTGAAGGTTAAAATCATGTTTAAAGATAAAGTTCATAATTGTTGAAGATTTTTATCTAGCTTTATTTTTTTAATTTTTAAATAATGTCACATGGTTATTAAATTTGAGATTAATGGTCAAATTAACAGTCATTTAAGTCAAATCTAACGAGGGGGCGACAATATACCATTTTAAAAAAACGTTGGTGGTAAAATTACATCAAAAAATATTGTGGGATATAAGGTGTGCCTAGTTAGAAACATTAAAGACAAATTTATACTTTACTCTTAAAAAATTGTTTTGAACAAATAAAAAAAAAAGGATGTTACTGTAGGAATCACAAGGTGGAAGCGTGGCTGCCAATTGTTTTCTTGCTAATAATTTGGTTCCAATTTTCTTTTTGAAATAAAGGTAAAATATTGAGTGATTCCTTCAATTACGCACAACTTTAATAACTTCTTGAAAAAACGAAGGAAAGAAAGGCCAAAAAAAAAAAAGTTCATAAAATTACTATATCCTAAAGCCCGTCAGCTGCTTTCCAAGCAGAGAAATTCTTGGGTCAGCCTAAGTAGAACCTCGTTAATGATTAAGTCAATTTAATTGGGTATTGTATCCAGTAAACTCAAGTGAATTAAGTTTCATGTTTGGGTTTTTCATTTTTGTGAGTGAAATTTATATTATATATATATCTATGTATGTATGTATATATATATATATATATATGAATAAAATTATAATTATAATTCTTAATGCTAACAGTTTAACTACATGAGTTATATATGGGTGTCTTATATATTCGGTTTTTTATAAACTAGTCAATGAATCCATCTAGCTACACCGGATTAAATTACACTTTCTTGATTTGTTATAACCTTAATTGCGACTCCTTATAAATTTTATTACATTTAATGATGATATTGATATATTGGTAATAATGCTTTTTGGTCGAATATCACCAAAATTCGTACAGCTAAGATAATGAATCATCTATTGATAATTAAGCTTTTAGGCATAATTATTGGACTAAGATTATTATCGTCTATTGATGATTAAAGACTACTACTTTCCCCTCAACTCCAGAATGTATATAGCCTTAATAATAATATAAATAATACAATATCTTTTTTCTTATGTTGTAATGTCGTCAACTTGGAGAACATGAATATTCTATTTTTGGAGAGAAATAGGAAATATAAATGGTGGGGAAGCTTGGGAAAGAATATCGAAGTCAGTGTAACATGTTTACATGAAACCATATTAATTAATTAATTAATTTAGTTTTGATTCTTTTTGTATGATTCAGTGCACGACCTCTTTCATTGATTAATAATGTGAGGGCATGTGGATATGTTTGCTTTTAATTTGTAGAATCTCTGCCAATATAATTTCAGACATGAAGCATGATCCTTAGTCTTTTTTTTTTTTAGCTTTTGCGCTTCTTGGTGTCACATCCTATAATTTAGTTTTGGTTGCTGTCATGAACACTCAGATTTACGTAGTGGTCAAAATTTAGTTTTTTATTCCAATATAATTTCTTAGAGAATAAGATAAAAACAACCTTTTAACTTAAATTTATGATCATCAGGCAAAATAATAACAATAATAGTAATAGTAACAATATTTAAACAGTCTAGATGTAAATGGCATACTTAATACTCCATCTGATAAAAAATATATATAAGACACTTTTTCTGACATAAGATATTAAAAAATATAAAATATTTTGAATTTTTTAAAATATAATTAATGAGATTTTTTAAAAATGCATTTAATTAAGATATTTAATAAGGTTTTTTTAATTAGGATATCCTATTAAATTAAATAAATATAAGCACAGAAAGAGTATGTGATTTTAAGATAATTATCTATCTCATGGAAAAATGTAATTCAATAAAATATTTTATAATTAATATTGAATGGAAGTAATATATAGGAAAAATTATATCTAAGTCCCACAAAAGAGAATTTATTATCAAAAGGTTCCATAAAATTCACAAAATACTTTTAAATCTTAAATCCTGCCCATTTATAATTTGAGTAAGGATATTGACAATTGAGTAATGATCCTTTATAACTTGTAAAGGGAAGTGATAATTTATAATAACAAGTTGTAAATAATTATTGTTCAATTGTTAAGACCCTTAATTAAGTTATAAATGCTCATGATTTAAAATTTAGAAGTATTTTATGAATTTTTTTAGACCTCTTGATAATAAATTTCTTTATGTAGATGGAGATGTAATTTTTCCTAATATATATGCATTGGCACCAGCAATTCACTGGTAGAACTTATTTACTTCAGTGCATACTCCTAATCAAACAACTTTAACACTAACTAGAAATGGATTTTAGAGGGGAATGGCTAGGTGGTTTTGTTAAGCAACTAGGCTGTTGCAGTTGTGAAGATGCTGACACATATGGGTTTGAGTTGTTGCAGAAGCTAAGATGCCAACGTGTGGTAATTGAATCTGACTCCTCTACTGTTGTTAGGAGTTCAGAAGATTTACTGTTATATGGAGAGCGTGACAGCAGATTCATAAATCGTGTTGCTAAATGGTGGATGAACGATGGGAGATTAAGGTTCAACACGTGTTTAGAGAAGGGAATGCATGTGTTGACCGGCTCGCAAAATGGAGCTGCCTTCAATCCATTATGTGTCATTTCCTGGGTGAGCCTTCTTGGGGCTTGTGTCAGTTGTTCCACTGGGATATGATCGGTTTATCCTGTTTTAGAGTCTCTGACTCTTAGTTTCTTATTTAGTTTGGGTTTGGCCCCGATTTGTAATAAAAAAAAAATAAAAATGAATAAATGGATTTTAGATTCTCATCAATATCAATATATGCAAATAAGCGAAATAAACTGCATGAGCGTGTCTCTTTCTTTCCCTTGTGGCATTGCCGGAATCCATACTCACAAAAAGATCTGGTCTTTTATAAGCTGGGTGAAAGATGAGTAAGATCAAGCATTCAGGAGACCATGAAGAGTGAATCTTTCTTGAAACTGCCGGGTGGCGCGGATGAAACCGTCCAATGTTTGGCCCAGGAGCCGCATGGACCCACCTCTTCGCCGTCTTATATACGTGTCCGATGATCTGTTAATTATCCTTTCTTGCTTTCTGAAATCCAACCAGGGGTTGACATCTATGTTTTGTTTCCATCGCATGAAGCTTATTAAAGTCCGTAATTCTGGTTAGCCGCGCACCATTATCCTCTATTCAATCATAAATTAAGCCCTCGAAGTCTTTAAGTATTATATAGAATTTCCATCGTCAGTTCCCCAAAATCTTCGCTAAAAACCGACGAGACCGTGCTCCGACACTTACTTCTCCGTCTCTCTTGGGCTTGGCACTCTTGCAGCTTCATTAACTGCTTGAATCCTCGTCTTCCGTTGTACCTTTTCTTCTTACTTGGATTGGAATTTCATCTCCGTTAGTTCATATTCATTCTGTGTCCATCTATAGACTATAATTAAATTTACAGATGAAGCGACGGACAAAGCACCTGCAGCAGGTTATCTCTCTGTTTCTGTCTCTGTCTCTTTTTCCCTCCCCTTTCTTCCTTGATTGTGCTTGGATTCTTGTCATTGTTTTTGGTGTATTGGGTTTGTTTAATTTTGGGGGGAACTGAGGTACAATTGCAGAGGACTTGGGCTGAACTATGTTGTTTGGGTTGGTCCTGCCTACAGCTCTTCTGGGCTCGAGTAGTCGTGCGCAAATGGCTCAACATAGAGAGCAATGAGTCCGATTATAGCGCCGACCCTGATGATGATGATGAAGATGACCCTGATAATGATTCCGACAACGAAGGTGAGATAGAATCTCGACTATTATCATGTGATTGTGTGCATCCATTGAGCGTTTCCAAGTTTGGCATAACGGATTTTTCATAGAATTAGTATAACTTGGGCTCTATGATTTATGCCAAATTATCAGTTATCTGAAATTCTGAATTGCATTTGTTTTGGGATGCTAGTATAATATGTTCCTGGAGATCCGTTTCAGTTTTGACTCGCACTTTAATTTCGGTGTTATGCAGGATTGGGAAGACAATCACGGTTCTGGGCACAGATAAGCAATGAAGCTCCCCATGAATCTAATGGTGGTTTTTTTTTCCCCTCGGTACTAAATTTTCTACTTCACAAATGAACTACTATACTCCATTAACTTCTAGATACCATCGAACTGGTCTATTTAGATAATAGTCCCTTAATCTAGATTCTATACTTGTTTCTCTTTCTGATCCCAGTGGCCTGTAGTAGTCCTAGATTTGTTACTGGATTTTCAAAGTTTAAAGTAAATATAGAAATAGAAATAGTATTAGATCCTTGCATGATTTTCTATGTAATATGTATCCTATGTTATGATGACTAAATAAGACTCAAATAAGAATTGCAGTAACATAAGCATGACTCTGGACTATGCAGATAAAATTCTGTTTATGACTAGTAAAATATGAATTATATGGAGATTTTCCTGCTCCCTTTTGGAAAGGGGCCTATCAAGTAAAAATTATAATATCTGAAAATTAATAATCATATGTTGGTGAATATATCAATATATAAATTAAAATCTTTAACAATCCAGTGGTGCTAGATACTAGATAGTTATAAAAAAGGTTATTTACAAGCGATGAATATTGAAGCTTATTTCTTAGACTCCATGCAGTACAAGGAAAGCATGTCTAATTCAATTCTAATATCAATAGTTCAGGTTTTCATTTATTTTGGGAAATTTCGTTTATTGCTTTTTTTTTTTTAATAATCTCAAACTAAAATTTTATTGATATACAGAATATGTTCCAAGTTTAAGGAGGCAAAAGTCATCAACTTACAGGGCGCAATATATAAACAAAAAGGAGCTTAAGTGAGATACTACTCTCATGTTTGTTTTGCAAGCAAGAACAGACACTTGTTTCATTTTTTTGGCATTAGGTTTTTAAGGTTGCAACCTCTGATGTCTGTTTTATGGCGTATATTTGTCTCCTAGAGTATGTGTTGGGACTTGGAATGTTGGAGGAAGACTTCCACCAGAAGACCTAGATATTGATGATTGGCTGGGTATTGATGAGCCAGCTGACATTTATGTTCTTGGGTAAGTCTCTCACCTTCTGAGATTATTTGGTCTTCATGTTAAAATAAGTATTATTATATCCTTCTCCCATTCTTATTTATTGGTCACCATCTCGAAGCTTTTTGCGCTTCTATGTTTAAGTCATTTTGCAAAATACACGAAGCAATTAATTTTGTTTGGCCTATAGTGCTCTTGGTGTGTATAATTGGATATTGTTGAGTAGTTTTGCTGGAGAGAGGAATTGAAAGAGATGGATAAGATTGGGGTAGAACTTATCGCATTTTATTAAGGGTATTTTTAGAAGACAGGGTGAATTAAGAATATCAACTAATGTTAACAAACTTACTTAATTTGGGTAAATTAATTAAAGGTGACTTATAAATAAGAATGGAGTGAATAATATATTTGTCAAAAAAGTTTTTCTTTCCAACACTAGTTTCTTTTTACTCAAGTTCTTCTTATGTATGTAAACCTGATTAAAGCATCATTGTCTTGTTTGATCACTTCTAATATATTTTTCTGCAACAACTCCTATTTCATTAATCTTTTGTGCTTAGGAAAAATAATACTCTTAGTTTGACCAAAAAGATTCCTTAATTTTGCAGTCTTCAGGAGATTGTACCCTTGAATGCTGGTAACATTTTCGGTGCTGAAGATACTCGAGCTGTTCCACTATGGGAAGATATCATTCGAGAAACACTGGATAGAGTTCGACCAGAAGCACCAAAGATAAAATCCTTTAGTGATCCTCCATCTCCATCAAAATTTAAGCCACCAGATGACATCCCAGATATAGAAGAAGAGATATTACTTGAAAGTGATAGTGACATTGGTGAGGAAGTTCCTCCTTTGTGTGATGAACACAAAGCTTCTGATGGACTTGCAGATGGATCAGTCACCAATAAAATCTCAAATGTAAACGTACATAATTCAGATGCCACTAATTTTGCCTACTCAGGACCAGTTGACTTGGATTTACAAAGACAACTTACCTCTCCAAGGAAGTTCAATAGATTAAATTGTTTGAACACTGATGATTCATTAGAAAGTATGGACACATCATCTGCACTGCAGACCTCTAAACTAGCCAGAGGGCTTAGTGGGTCTGAAAGGATTGGTTTGAGCTGGCCAGAACCACCACTTGATCTTCTATCCAAGAGAGTTTTAGAGAGACCATGTTCATTCAAGTCAACTAATTCCTTCAAAGCATTGAAGTCCTTCAAAACATATAATTCTTTCAAGTCAACTATGAATGAAGTACCATTGGGAATAGCTTTGCTTTCAGAAGTTGACCTTGAAGCTTTGATGAAGCGGAAAAGAAGATCATCATATGTAAGAATAGTTAGTAAGCAGATGGTTGGACTTTTCATTACTGTATGGGTTCATAGGAGCTTGCGGAGACACATTCAAAATGTGAAGGTGTCAACTGTTGGTGTTGGTGCCATGGGATATATTGGCAATAAGGTCAATTTCGTTTCCTCAGAATATTCTTCCCGTGCCCCAAACTCCTTTAGTTGTTTTTTGTTATTGGTTGTCATTATTTTTTTTATTTTCGGTAACATGTAATTTCCAATTACCAAGAATAAAATACCTACATAATCCAAAGGGACACTTAATGAATAGCCACCTTCTAGGAAGGGTTTTATTTCTGTAGTATCAAAACCTCTGGATTAGCAAAAGAGACAGCTTCTACAATCTCATGCCCAAAGTATATGACGTCTAACCATCATTCTAAGAGATTCAATCTTCTTTGAAAGGCAGTGTCCCCCCCCCCCCCAAAAAAAAAAAGGGGGAGAAAAAAACAACAATCTCATGAAAGATCACCTGTATTTCCTTGTTCTTATGGTTTATTCCAATCCAAACATGGTATATAGTATTACTGTATCAGCAATACCCGTCCAATATATTTTGAGGATTTTATATTATTAGTACTTGGGAGTTTATTTGAGAATTTGTTTCTGTTCATTTGGAGGAATGATCAGGTAATAGAGGACTGTTAGAATCATAGGCTTCAATGTTTCAGGGAATATTCTGGGAATGATTTTATCATACCATCTAATCTCCTAATATATTCTGAGGTGTAGGCTATGGTATACAACTGATTAATTTTCACTCATATTGGTCACCTCCCTCATTGTTTCCCTCTTTTTCTGTCATCCCTGGCATCATTTGTCCGGTGGATTTTCTGTTTTATGACTAATATTTTCTTGTTGCTTATAATTTCCAGCATCACTCGTTTGATTCTCGTACCAAGTGCTACTCTTTGATTTCATCAAAGACTGAGATACATCAGTTGATTTATTTCTGTTCTGTACAAAAATTCAGACTGTCATATCTTTATCCTTTTCACCTCTTTACTTTCATACATGTGGATTGCTCACTGCTCAGTGATCTCATCATCATATTCCTGATACTCTTTCCTTAAAAATTTTCTTTTTAATTATGATATATTTGTTGGTAACTAGTTCTACCAATCGTGGCAGCTAGTCATTGTACCCAGATCCAAGTGATCTAATCCCTGAAATTTGGGATCATGTCAAGTCTTCTGGATCCCCATCCTTTTACTATTATTTAATGTATTTATTCTGCCTTCACAGTTTTGAGTATGATCTATTACCTTGTCTCTATGGATTCTAGAGGCAAACATGTCGCCCATGGTCTTTTTATAGTTGTGCTTCAGTTTTATCCATAATAACATGAAATATAGGGCTCTCCACTCCATCTCCTTCCATGAAATATATTTGTTACTGTTAATGGTCCATCTTGGCTGAGATTTTTTTTTTGCGGCATGATGGGCAAGTTCCTATTCATTTTTCAGTAAGTTATACTCCAATCAAACTTTTGGGAGGGGGGTTTGGTGTTTCCTCATCTAAATCTTTTTTTTGGTAATAAAAGGGAATGCATTAATGGTGACTCAAACCAGGGTAACAAGATCTATATCTGAATCTTTAATTCCATGTGGAGAAGGATAGTTTTAGCAATCTAGTAGAGTGATGTAAAGTGTTTACTGTTTAGCAGTTCATTCCTCCAGCATTCAGCTATTAGTTTTAGCTTAATTACTCCTAATAATAATATTAATTTCCTTTTGTTTATGTTGGTTTTATGAACTAAAGATTGAGTAGAGCTATCATTTGATCAATATATTCTTTGTTTCAGATTATAAGACAGTTGTTTTTTCTTCCAGGGATCCATATCTGTTAGCATGTCCATTTATCAGACACTTTTTTGTTTTACATGTGTCCACCTTGCGTCAGGGGAAAAGGAAGCAGATGAACTTAAGAGAAATACTGATGTACATGAAATACATCGAAGGACGCAATTTCATTCGCGTTCTAAAATTGCACTTCCCAAAAGTATCCTTGATCATGAGTGAGTGCACGTATTATCATATCAATTATGAATTGAGTTATTTTACAGGCTGGTTAGAACTATTCTGCTTTCTAATGCTATGTGTGTTTTCCTGGTGCTTTATGTGATCCTTCCTTTTGAACTTTTAGCTTTGTTATTTGTTGTCATATTTGCCAGCTTAAAACTTTGTTTTGACAAGAGGCTTAGTCATCACGTCAGCTATTTGTCTTCCGGATGAGATGTACGATAAGTTTATGACTTTATTTTCCAACTTCTCCTTGATGAAGTGCCAGTCTATCTCAACCTGCTTTGTGCAATCATGTTGGATGGGATTATTGGCATTCTTCAGTGCAGCCATGCTATCACACCACATCTTAATTAGGGCATTCATTAGGTCCCAAGTTCTTTCAATAACCGTACAATCCACATACCCTCACAAATTCTGTGAGACAAGGCCCTATATTCTGATTCTGCAGAACTTCTTGATACTATTGATCGGTTCTTATTCCTCCGAGTTACTAGGTTGCCCCAGACAAAAGTGCAATATCCAGTTGTGGATCATCTATCATAAATGGCACCTGCCAATCAGCATCTGTATATATTTCCACATTTTTCTATTCTTCTATGCCAGTTGTCATCTTGGTTGCATCTGTATAAATTTCTATGCCCTTTTGGTTATTCTGAGAAAAGAATAAACCTTTTTTGGATGTCATCTTGAGGTATCTAAGAATCTGATACACCGCTTCCATGTGTTATTTTTTAGGATTACTTGCAAATTGACTAACAATTCCCACTGCAAAAGATATATCTGGCCTTGTGTGAGACAAGTAAATTAACTTTCCCACCAACTTCTGGTACCTCTATTAATGGATTTTCCGTCTTGTTTTACTTCCAATTTGAAATTAAGCTCCATTAGAGTATCTGCAGGCCTAGCCCCTAACATTCCTGTCTCCTTGAGTAAGTCAAGTGTGTACTTTCGCAATGATACACTAATACCCTTAGAAGATCGAGCTATCTCCATCCTGAGGAAATATTTCATGCTTCCAAGGTCTTTCACTTCGAATTCAGTAGCTAATTTTCTTTTCAACTATGCAATTTCTTCTGGATCATTACTGGTTAAGACTATCATCCACATAAACAATCAATATAGTTTTTTTTAGGCCACAATGTTTAACAAAGTGTGACCAGCCTGACAATGTTTATAACCGGATCCCTTAACAGCACGAGTAAACCTCTCAAACCACACTTGTGGGGATTGTTTTACAAACTTTATTCACATTTTCAGGACCCGGCAAGCCTTGAGGGACTTCCATGTATACTTCCTCTTCCAAGTCACCATTTAAGAAGGCATTTTTGACATCTAATTGATGCAAAGGCCAACCTAAGTTTGCTGCAAGAGAAAATAGTACATTTATATTATTAAACTTAGCCACAAGTGCAAATGTCTCTTGGTAATCAATACCACATGTCTGGGTGAATCTTCTAGCAACTAATCTCCCCTTATATCTGTTAACACTCCCATCCGGATTATATTTTTCAGTAAAGACCCATTTGCTCCCTACAACAGACTTTCCAGGAGGTAAGTCAACAACCTCCCATGTTTGCTCCTTACTCAAGGCCTTCAGCTCTTCTTCAATAGCTAGTCTTCATTTGGGATCAGTCATAGCCTTATCAAAAGTACTAGGAATATCCTCACTATCAATACTTGCAATCAAAACCTTAAACTGAGAATTGAGTTTATTATAGGAGACATGCTTGCCAATGGGATGTTAAGTACAACTCCTTTTGCGTTTTCTTAGAGCAATAGGCTATTGAATATCTTCAGGATTGGTTTCAGGTTGAGAGTCATAACTTTGCCTTGGAAAAATAATGGGATTTTCTCTTTGCACCTGCTGACCTGGCTGATTCTCCCCAGATTCATGCGCAACACACTCTAAGTTATGGTCTTGAATGGCTGTTGATGATGTTTCAGGGTTGTCAGACTCAAATTCAGGTCTGGTAGGGTCATTAGGAGAATATTCTGGTGCCATAACAGAAACAGATTCAGCAAGTTGGGTGCTGTAGCAGGTGGAACAGGTTCAGGTTTAGAAATAATAGAAGCATCTAGAAGTGTTTGAGATCCAGTATTTGGGTTACTAACTCGTGGGCTAGGTGAGCTGTCACATATTAATCATTCACTATCACTCTCCCCTTAAATGGGTAATTTGGAATAGAATGGAAGGGTTTCAACAAACCGAACATCCAAAGTGACAGAAGTTTTCCGAGTAGCTGGAAAATAACATTTGTACCCCTTCTTTGTGGAAGAGTATCCCAAGAAAATGCATCTAATAGACCGAGAAGCCAAACTTTCACCAAAAGAAGAAAAAACAAAAACAGTACAGCCAAAGACACGCTTAGGAAGGGAGTTTAAAAGGTGAGAATTAGGGGGGGAAAAAGGCTAGAAACTTCTCACTGGGTGACTGTAATTTTAAGACTTTGGAGGGCATGTGATTAATAAGATAGGCAGCAGTGAGAACAGCAACCCCCCAAAAAATATTAGGAACATGTTTTCCCTAGCAAAAAAGCCCTTGCCACTTTTAAAAGATGCCTATTTTTCCTTTCAGCTACCCCATTTTGTTGAGGGGTGTTCACACAAGCAGTTTGATGGTGTATGGTGTATCCCTTTCTCAGTAAGGAAATTTTGAAGGTTTGAGTTAAGGTACTCTTTCCCATTATCACTTCGGAGGACCTTGATAGAGGCCTGAAATTGAGTTTGAACAAAGGTATGAAAATTTTTAAAAATAGAGAAAACTTCAGATTTGTCTCTCATCAAGAACAGCCACGTTAACTGGGTATGGTAATGTATAAAAGTAACAAACCACCTAGCTTTTGAGTTAGTAGCAACCCTGGATGGACCCCAACCATCACTATGAATAAGGGCAAAAGGTTTGGAAGGAACATATGGGACTGAAGGATAAGAGGTGCGAGTTTGTTTGGCAAACTGACAAGTATCACGATGAAAATCAAACTTCTTTTTATTCATAGACTTGGGAAACAATTTTCATTTAATCAAAACTTGGATGACCTAACCTAAAATGCCATGACATAAAGTCTTCATAAGACATAGTAGAAAAACAAGAACTTGAATCAGCCATGTAGTCTTTATTTGAGGATTTGCCTTCAAGATAATACAACCCATTAAATTCCTTAGCATTACCAATCGTCTTCCCCAAATCCATCTCCTGAAAAACACACTTAAAACGGTCAAAAATAACAAAGCAATTTAACTGGTGAGCTATACACTTCATAGGCAACAAGCTACACTGTATGTCAAGCACATATAAAACGTTTGTGAGGATTGTAATGGGAGAAATAGTGACTGTGCCTGATCCCATGACCTTGGCATAGGTATTTTTTGCAACTTGAACATAGGTATGCTCAAAATAGGGGTGAAAAACAGAAAATATTCTCGAAAACCAGTAATATGATCTATAGCTCCTGAATCAATTACCCAAATATTGTTTGTCCAGGCCATAGCATTTAAAGCGGTGACAAGTTTTTGAGCTAAGGTAACAGAGGGAGTTTTCTCACTTGGTCTTTCCTGAGAATACTTTTCTAGAATTCTTTGTAGGACGGACTGGTCTTCATTATTAAGCATGTCACTGTCAAAGTTGCTTACCATGAAGCCCTTTTTATCACCTTGAGACCGTTGCTTTACATGGGCTGGTTTCCCATGAAAATCCCAACACAATTCCCTGGTGTGACCATTTTTGTTACAATGATCACATTTAAGATGCTTCTTCCCTTTTCACTCTCCACCCTAATTTCCACATGCCACCATGGCCGACGCTTCTGAACTTGAGGGAGGAAGAATAGAAGGAGTAGATGAAGAATTCTGAACAAGTTCTTTACAACTTTCCTCATACCCAATCATATTACATGCATCTTTAAGGGATGGGATAGGCTTCATGCCCATAATTCGTCCTCGAATATCTTCAAAGTTATCATTCAACCCAAGCAGGAACTCATAACAGCATTCTTGATTGACCACTTGGTGAAAATAAAACCTCATCTGTATGGCAGGACCATTGGTGGACTTCATATAGATCGATCTATTGCCAGAGTCTAATGAGAGCATTATGGTAGAGAGTAACGGTTCTCTCCCCTTGTGTGGGACTATGAAGCATCCTTTTCACTTGAAAAATAGAGGCTGTATTTTCTTTGACAGAATAGGTGTGCCTGGCTGACTCCCAAATTTTCGAGCAGAATTAGTGAGCAAGTAGGTTTCACTAATCTCGGCGGTCATATAGAGTGAACAAGCCAAGTTATCACCAAGTGGTTCTCGGCACACCATGTTAGCTGGCGGCTTGGGGTTCTAGGTGAGGTATTTTTCCTTATTTTTCCCACGGATGAGCGTGAGAATATTTTTGGACCACTATAAATAATTGTTCCCATTAAGACAATGGGTTATAACAGCTTGAGAAAAAGAATCAGTTACAGAACTCCCCCCGAAGGCTGAATAGGAATCATCACACCCTATAGACCTCCTCCCCCAGTCTCGGTCCCGGTTCTAGGGCCTCCTCCAGACACCGATGATGGCTGGAGAACCTCATCACCAGTGGCGAACACTATAGGTTGGCTGGAGAGCACGATGTAGTGGGATCGCTTTGATACCATGAGAGAAAACAGTGCATAATTGCTTATCTTATTCCACAGGACTGACCAATACATAAATAGAGGGAGAGAGGGATTGATGCAATCACATAAAATCCTCCCTCAATAAAGTAAAATATAAGATGCTAATCAGAATCCTAAAAGGATAAAGTTGACTTGGATAAAAATAATAGACTAGAAACCCTAGTTGTGTGATGCGCTCAGAGGATAAAAGCCCAATTCCAACAAGAATTATATTGTGTTCACATATTATGTTAAAAATTGGGTGTTGGAGATTGACATAGATGATATGCTAACATCTCCAATTTTGCATATGAGTTTATTCAACGTTAAATCTGAATCTGTCCTCTTAAACCTTAATTGAACACATATACCATAATAATAAGAGTCAGAAGCATTTTTGTCACCATCTATTATCTTATAACATGTGCCATAACTTGAGCTGCTTTTATATGTGCATTTAGCTTGGTACTGGAATGTTTCCAAGCTGCAGCTGCACTTTATGCTTCTTTTGTCGTCTGCTGTAATTCTTTATTTGCTTTTTAAAATTAAAGGAAATAATCAATTAATCATTTCTAATTTCTTTGCAGAAGAATTATTTGGTTTGGAGATCTGAATTACCGAATTAATTTGTCATATGAGAAAACAAGAGATCTTGTCCTGAAAAAGGAGTGGTCAAAATTGGTTGAGAAGGACCAGGTACTTTAGAATCTCATGCATAGAATGTACAGAATAAGAATCTCCCTCTGAACATTAGACCTGTGGTTTTCTGGTTACTTCCATAATGAATGCCTTTCTGAGAATTGATTGGATTATCTACTCACAGGAGGTTTTTCGACAATCAATTACATGTGATTGTGTTTCTATGTACACTTCCTGTGGTTTCCCTATTTTCATGTCATATTGACCTGTTACTTACACCTTCTACAATGCTTCCTTACTGGGCCAAGTTGGATAACTACGTTTCATAGTCCATCATAATTGTTTTTATCAGTTCCATGAGTTGTGGAATGTGGAAAATAAATGAACTTCAGTTACTGGATAACTGGTTTGGCTCTTCAGAATACTGACATTTTATTCTGATAGCTTGTGCAAGAACTCAAGAAGGGTGCATTTGTTGGATGGTTAGAAGGCACGCTAAACTTTGCCCCTACTTATAAGTATGAGATTAATTCAGAGAAGTACCGTGGAGAAGATCCCAAGACTGGGAAGCGTAGGCCAGCATGGTATGCTTGACTTTCTTGACTCCAGGCTGTGTTTCCATGTCTGCTGCTTTACACACACACACACACACACACATGTTAATCTATCATCCAGCAAAGCAGTGTTTTCTTGTATCTCTAGATTATACTATTTTTATGATCACCTGATTTATCAGTGTGCGCATCCAACCCCAAGTGTCCACTTGTTCTGGATGTTCCATGTGTACACTTGTTCTACTACGTATTTCAGATGAAAATTTAAAACTTGTTGAAATCTTATTGTAGAAGTCTGGCAATTTATAAGATACGTGGTTAATATGACGAGAAAACTTTTATCATAAGGGATGTGATCTATTTGTAAAACATTCTATCTAATTGAGCATTTCCTCATGTGGAAAATACTGGAAGGAGCACTCTTCATGCGAATTAATTCATATGTTACTTCTAGAGTGTGCAAGACCACATCAAAGTCAGTAACTCATTGGTCATATGATGTGATGAAAAACGGGTCTGGCAGCTCACACTGAAAAGTTCCTCACAGAAAACACAGAATTTAATAAGCATATTCATAAGAATTCGAAGAATGTTCTTGGGAAGTAGCCTGCCCTGAACGTTAGACATATTCAATAGCCTCACCCACCAAATGATAAGAGCAGTTAGTGCAGAACAATGGCAAAGAAAAGGGGAAGGAGAGAGAAGTAGAAATAGGATATATAGAAGAAAAAGGGGTGACCTACAGAAAAATTTGTGGGGAGAGATGGCTATCAAGCGCAGAGAGCTTCTATTAAAATGAAAGGATAACTAAATTCTAGATCAAACCAATTAGCCAATAAAATTATTTCTGATTACTATGTTTATCCTCAATTCCTAATTGGCAATTAACTACTGATATCTCCCCTAATATTCTTCTCCCATTCTTCACAAATAGTTTATCGTATGGTCCTTACTATGCTGTCTTAGATTCAAAGGTTCACTCAAGACTTTTGAAAATAGCTAAATGCTGCAGAAACTAAATATTTGGCAGGGTATTTTATATTGTCTTTATTATATACCCAAAAATGTCTTCAAAGATGTGAGATTTTGTAAGACCTGCTATATGATTTTGTATAGGTCAGTTCTTTTACTGACATGGCTAATTGCTATAGTATATTACTTATCTTTCAGGTGTGATCGTGTTCTTTCATATGGCAAGGGATTGAGATTGTTGAGTTATAGAAGGACTGAGCTCAAACTTTCAGATCACCGCCCAGTTACCGCCATCTATATGGCTGAGGTGGAGGTGTTCTCCTCTAGGAAGCTACAACGAGCACTGACATTCACTGATGCAGAGATTGAAAATGAAGAAGTCCTATCAAATTTATGAACCCCCCCCCCCCCAACACAAAAAGATAAAAACTTTTCTCCTTTCCCTTACATATCCGTCCTTTGTCATGTTAATCATTCCTTCCTTTGGGGAAATGCAAGTCCGACATACTGAACTGCCAGGAGAGTTTCCATCACCACATAATAATGGTATTCAGCTAAATCCTGCATCATATTTCCCTATAAAATAATAGTAATTTTCTCATCCCCCCTTTTTTGGTATTTGTATTTACTGAGGGCTACATTGTTTTGTTGCATGATTGAAGGAGTTAGATCCTGATATTTCTCGCTTGTTGGTTCTCTTGAATAATTGGACCAGGTTAATGATTAGTTTTCTAATGTATATTACTTTCCATGTATTCCTCCAATGTTGATTATAGCTTAATTCTCAGTTAGAATCCATATCAATTAGACATAGTTGTAGTGATGTGACTTAACATAACGGCACCCCTTTCTCTACTGGATTTGATTTTTTTTTTTTTCTGGTTCCCACTTCCCACGTTATACTTTGCTCTCTGCTGAATCGGTATAACTGGGATGTGCTCATTTCTCACTTGCTAAAGGATCTTAACAATTATGGCTTATATTAGCCCATGATGTATTAAATATGAAAAATTAATGTGACACAAAAGTTAGATTACTGATATGGCTTACACTAGCCCATGATGTCCATAAGCTCTACTCTCTTTTGCAGGGTTTCATATGAGGTCTAAAGGAGGTTAAGTAATTCCAGCATTTTACAGCGCAGGAGTGGCAGGTACTGAAACTTTATCGGTTGATATTGCTGGCATAAGATAATTGATTCTTTCATTTGATTTTAGTAGACTGACACAGAATTGTATAGTCGTAGTACCGGTATTTTGAGCGGGTTGTGAGATTTTTGCCAATTGGCGTTAGTGGTAATGTTACCTTAAGGCTGTATTCTTTGTTTGTCTGTATTGTTATGGGCGTTCATGCATTGTGAGAGACACCTTTTACGGGGGAACTTTCTTTTATTTGTATAAAAATGAAGGACTGGCATATTATCTATGATGGTTCTGCTTGCCCAAGAACCTCTGTATTTTTTGAGGGAGAGTGATGATGTATCCTCTGTGTATTCTATGTTCATTCGCTGGTTCACAGATAAAGGCATTTTATATTTTCTCCCCGTGTATGTGTGTGTGTAAGTAAATATTTATCATTTGTTTTTAGCAATGCGGTTTGAGTGGATTTCTAGAAGTAACTTGAAAAAAATTGTAAAAGGATATGTAAAGATTATGGACCTGTGCCCCAAAAAAAAAAAAAACACTTCGTAATATTACATGTTGACGTCTGTATCGTGAAAACCAATTGTAACTAAAAAGAATATTTAATTAAAATGTTAGGAGGTCATCAAACCCCGTCCAATAATGGTGGTTTGTTTGGCAGTCCCGCGGTTGACTGACACTGAGATTAAATCAATCAAAGGTTTCAATCAAATCAGGTTAAAAAATACTTTTTCAATTACTATATTACATAATTTAAAAAAAAAGATGATTTAAAAAATTTATAATAAATATTTTTATGTTTGAAAATAGAAAAATAGATTAGAACATTTTTATATTTCATCAAAATTTAGCTGTATTAAATGTTGCTTATAAATACAAATTATGTGTTTATAAAAGATAATTTAAAAAATTGTAATAAATATTTATTAAGACATGTGATTTTGTATATAAATAAAAACGAAATAATAAATAATAATTTCTTTTATACATAGAAATGGAGTGAGTATTTGGGTAATTTTATACTTTTTTTTCAAGTTAAATATAATTTCCTTAAAACTTATTAGTAGAAAATCAAATTGAGAGGATTTATTGATAATTTATTTGATTACTTGTGAACTAACTGTAAATTTAGTTGGTAAAAAAAAAACTAACTGTAAATTTCTTTTCTTTTTCTGTGAATGCAGAGTGAGTTGCGTTTATTTATTTTAATTTCTTTTATTTTTCTAATCACAAGAATAAATACTAATAGTGTGAGGTTATAAACAAGATGGAACTCATAACTTCCAACTTATAGAGTGCCATTAAAAATGGAAAAATACTGGAGAAATTTTATATTAGTTGAAGATGTTAAGATTATGATGTTGCATTGGACCTCATAATACTTATCTAAAAAAAAGTTTTTATGAGAAAAAAATCTAATTTTCCTTGAAGTTTAAAATAATAACCCATTCGGTTTCAACAATTATCCATTCATAATTAATAACAATTGATTAAAAAAATTGGATAAGTGTTAGTCCTCTAAAAATAGGTATTGATTTAGGTTTTAATAACAATTTATTAAAAAATAAATAAATTAAAAAAATTAATAGGATAGATTGAATCGAACAAATGTTTGTCTTGCATAAACTAATATTTATTAGAATTTTGATAACAACATACTTGTAATTAACAAGAAGCTATTCGATAATAAACAAATTAAAAAAAATTGATAGGACATATTGAATTGAATAAGCGTTAGTCTTGTATATAAATAAGTATTCATTTGAGTTTTGATGATAACACATTCATAATTAACAATAATCCATTCTGCTTTTCCATTTAGCTATTTCTCTTTCATTAAGAAGAGTAATTAGGTCTTTTTCCAAACAAAATTATTTTCATATTCATATCTAGGGATGCAATAAAATATCAAAATATTAAGGTCCTTACCTGATATAAAATTTCTCCAAGAATCCTAAACTGATATTTTCCCTTAAAAAAAACACAACATTTCAGTCATAATTAATTACTTAAATAACATGCCCCCTCTCTATCTAACTCATTGATTATACTCTTAAGTTTGGTAGAATGTTCTAGAAATTTGTCAATATTTTTATTTGTTAAAGGATTAATGTGTATTTTTACCTCTGAATAATTTTCCAAATAGCACCCAATTTTTTAAATTATATATTGTAGCAATTTCTCTCTTGAAGTAATTTAAACATAGCATATTTACTTCTAACGTCAAATACCAATGTTGAATATTATAAATGTTAACTGGAGTTTAAATTTGATCAAAAATGTCACTTGTTATGTAAAGTAAATCTTAGTATAGGTGCATTCTTTCTCTGAACTATTTCTAATGAGCAGCCAATGTTCTAAATTATTTGAGTCATATCAATTTTGCTCATAAAATATTTAAAACATGATAAAAATACACCTTAACTTGAATCCACTTGCCATAGTAAAAAGCATTTTCAATCAAACTAGAGTCTCAATAGTATTTTTAACAAGCAACATTGGGATATTTAATGTCAAGAGCAAATATACTATAAATTATTTTAAAAATGAAATTGATAAAACAAATAATTTAAAACAATATGAAATTTTTTTTGTAAAATAATTCAAAAGTAAAAATATATTTTTACTTTGTTAAATTTTCTTTTCCCTTACAAAAAAGGCCCAAGACCCAAATAAACCGAAAAATATTACTTGAAAGCTATTGTTTTTCTTATTATTAATTATTAAAAAGTGTTACCAAATGAGATTGAACCCGTACAAATCAAAAAGGGTGATCACCATGCCACTATATTACAATTGCATCAGCTTCAATGCTGTTGTTTAGTTGTAAATAAAGTGATAACCCACATAAACAAAGGCTTGACATCTGATCCCCCCTTCCTTGATTTTTATATTCATAATAATTGATCCTTGTTGCCTAGTTCCCTCTTTTAGTTAAACTCTCCTCTTTTCTTTTTTAAAATTAGTGGCTCGCATTTGATTGCAGTACTTTGATTTCATTGCGGTTTTGATTTAAATATGATTAAGGTCAACATTATTATTGATAAAAAATCATATCATAAGCAATAAAAAATAAAATAATTGACTTAGTGGGGTGTCACAAAATCTGTTGTTATGTGCATGTATGACGTAGCTGGACTTATTGGTAACATGCTCTCCAACCTCATGTCTCGATTAGCCTCGTGATCAAGTTTAATTAATTTGATGAGTATATATTATTAATTGCCTTATCTTAATTCTCAAAAGAAAAATTCATATCATGTCATATACCCTTTCTTCCACAATATTTTTAATGTGATCTTCAATGTACCTGTATCTGCAGGTGAGTTGGCCAAGTGGGCACTTCTTAAAGTTTAAGGATATAGATGTTATCTATATGTATTCAATAAATTGACATATGAAAGTTTACCAATAGAAGAAAATTGGGCATGGAAACAATTACTTTGAAAATTATATATTTACAACAAGCAATTAAAAATTGATTTTTCTATAAGATTCTGGGTCATGTTGGAAAATACTGTTTTTCTTTGTATTTCTTGTATTTATGTTTAATGAAAATTAGAAAATACTGTAAAAACTAATAATACAAATAATAAAATGTGTACTCCCTCTATTAAAAAATGTATGGTATTTTTTGAGTAATTGAATGTTAAAAAATATAAAATATTTTTAGTCTTTCGAGATGTAATCATTATCTTTTTTTAAAAGTGTCCCTATTGATAATAACTTTATATTTATTGTATAATGTTTAATATGAATAAATATAAAAAAATAAAATTGATTTAAAAATAAATAACTATTTTATTGAAGGTGAACAGTTTAGGTATCAAATATCATGAAGTACAAATGTATTGAATATCGTGAACAGTTCAACACTGTTTTCAAGTATTGGTGGATTAATTACTTAATTTGTATTTTTGTGCAATAGAAAGGAAATCTTATTATCTACTTGTCTCTTATTATATATGTATACTATAGTTGATTGGAATATATGTTCTTTTAATAATAACCATTACGCCAATTTTCATGAGATTTCTCAAGGTAGTAGGATATTAATATATATATATACACAATACTCAAATAGTGATTAAAGACCCTACTTTTTTATTATAGATCCATGCTAAAGATGGTAAATAAAAAGATAAAATAGTTGAAATCAACAGACAATTGTACATTGAGGCATTAACATTTTCATAAAATTATTACTGCATTAGTGAAACGTATGATATGATCCCACCACCCCCACCCCAAAAAAAAGAAAGAAAGAAAGAAAGAAAGAAAGAAAAATCCTCACCACTTCTTGTTAAGAAAAAAAAAATGAGGAAATCAATTTTGGCCCCTGCAGTTTAGTTTATTTTAAAAATCAAGCCCCCTCGTTCATAAGTTTCAGAATCATGCGGAGAGAGGAAGGATATAATGATAATTAATAATTGCTTGTGCACTACAAAATGTCCTATGCTTAATGCTTCTCATCACCTCAAAGCCTATAACACATTACTAATTATGATGTTTTTTAAAAAAGATTACTTTGTCTAATTACAAGAGCTCCTACACCCTGTCAATAGAATGAGGATGCACTTTTAAGAAAAGTAATAACAAATATATAATCGGGAAAGATTTGAGAATATGGAGAGCTTCAGCCATCATTACGCAAACATATATAATATATATCTGCCTTCCTCTTTATTTTTTTTATTTTTTTAATATCTGCTTTTGGCAAAGTTATACGTCTCTTCCTGTAAACAAGTGAGGCCAAGAAAAACAGAACGTGACAAGAACCAAGCTTCTTCACATTACACCATATTTATTTAATATGGATTACCTTGTGCTTTATGATTTAATATCTTCATGCTGGCCCAAAAAAATATCTTCATATTATTTTTTTTGAAAAAATGACAAATAAATCTCTCTGAGATAGGAAAATGACAATTTGACTTCATGAGATGGTATTTTTTAGGTCATAAAGAACTTAGTTGTCGTTAAAGTTTTTAATGAAATAATAAAAATATCCTTTCATTTAAAAAAGTGGAGAACACTTAAGAGAAGAAGTTGTGAATGCCTTAGGTGTTTTAGTTATTTACTACACCAACATGTGAATTTTAAAACTAAAAGTTGTGAACCAAAAAAACTTTGTTTCACTTCAAAAAAATGATGAGAAAAAGTTATGAATACCTAAATAAATTTAATTTTTTACTGATGTAGAATTATGAATTTTAAAACTAAAGTTGTAAATGAAAAAAATTTTGTTGTGCTTTTTTAAATTAAGGAGTATTTTTGTCATTTCATCAAAAACTTAAATGACAATTAGGTCCTTTGAGACTTAGAAGATACTATCACATTTTGTAGGATCAAATTGTCATTTTCTTATTTTGGAGGGATTTTTTTTAATCATTTTTTCTATTTTTTT